AACCAACTGACCAGTGGCAAAGCATTGGGCAAACTGACTACCTGATGGATCTGACTTATTTGTAGAGTAGACAGAGCAGAAACTCCCACCTCTCACATTGGTTGGCTGGTTAGTTTGTTGGTAGATTGGTAGGTTATTTGGTTAGTTGGTTGGTTTCATGTACTCCATTTTATGGTCATTAACATTAACATGGAATTGGATCTGATGCTAAAATGTTGGAAAGCCACAGACAACCAAAGTCTAGAAAAGAGCAACATCCAGGCCTATCTCAGAGCTTATATGTTACTTAGTCTTACAGAACAAGCACATCTATAAGCCTACAGATACCACTTCCATCAAGACGTGATGTTTCACAGGGGCTTGTATCCAACAAGTCTCTTCATTAAAATGTCATCACTTTTATCCTGGACAACACTCTTGAGTTTCAGTAAATTACTCTATGTCATACATTCTCATCCATCTGAAACCTTGCTCCAGGCTGAGCCTCTGATAACTCACTCTCAGATCACTGACAAGGTACACACAGAGAACAGATCGTTTTGAATTCCATTCCCTCTCCAGGGCTCCCTAGAGACAGCCTCAACCTGCCTGGGGAGGGGGTCTTGTGAGTCTCTGTATACACTGCTCTACATGTGTTAACAGTCCCCAGCCTGCAGCTCTTTCCTGCCAATGCAGTTTAGAACTTAAGTCAGACAGGAGAGGCCTTTTCCAGTCTTAGTCCTTCCCTGGGTGTTCTGTTCTGACCATAAGGATAGGCACTTCTCCAGTGTCTCCAAGCCCTGTTTTCTTCAGTGTTCTGTGTTACTGACCAATTCCCTCTTACTCCTATACTTTCTATAGTAATAAAAAAATCATTTCTGTTAAGCACAACCTGCTCCCTTTTTCTTCTTGTTCCCTGCCTAATACACTGTCTGAAAACTAAATGGACACTGTCCTCAGGAAAACAGTAAAAATAAAGATATTATGAAATGAACCTAAAAGAAAGGGTAGCAAAATTTACTATGTTAAACTTACTAAAAAATAAAATTTTAAAGTCAGTCCAATACTTTTAAAAGTTATAGAAATAGGAAGCCACAGGGCTTAGCCCTGGGACTCTAGGGAAGTTGAGGCAGGCATACTAATACTTTGGTGTCCCTCTATAAGGCTTTGCAATATATACATATATGTGTGTGTGTGTATATATATATATTGCAGTCAGCATGTGGGTCAGAGGTCGGGGTTCTCCCTGGTCCTCACACTTTGGCTAATGTCCCCAGCATAAACCGTAACACAGAAAGTATCTGGACTGAGGGAAAGCTGGAGATTGGCCATCACCCACCAACTTCCTTGCTCCCAGCTTCAAGCTGTCCTCAGTCTGCAGAAATCTGCTCAAGCACAGAACAGCAGACCCCACATAAAGAGGCAGCTTTAGTATCTGCTTCGATAACCCCAGAGTAAATGACTGTCAGAAAGAAAAGAACATTCTTGGTTCTCTGGCATAGGAGATCGCCAGTGACCAAAGGGAAGAGAAATAGTTACTCAATTCTGGGGAAACATTTTAATTAAGAAAGTAGTCTGAACTGCATCTCCTCTTCCAGCTGGCCTTGAAACAAAAATCTTCTTATTTCAATGCAGTCCAACAATTCTGCACAAGCTCCTGCTTTCCCACTTTGAATCATGCTGGCACTGCAAGACACGCAGATGAATAGGACTATGCCCTGCCCTGGCTAGGTCACAGGATTTGAATGACACACGTGGTGAGAATCCAGGGCTCATTTTCCAATGGAGGGAAAGAGTCCTGAAAGAAGCAGTAAGCTGGAGATCACACAGAGGTAGGCAAAGGAGGGCCAGAGCCCCAGCTTCCCAACTGACACATGTTTCCTACAGAACAGTAGACTTCGTGGTGCTGTCCTCAGATTCACTGTTTGAACCATAGGAAATCTGCAGCATTTATAAATAATATTCCTGTAAAATGGTATCATATGTGTGTTCCTAATAAGAAATAATGAAGAAGCTAAGACTGGGCACACACACACACACACACACACACACACACACACACATTATGCACTGCATAATGACCAGGGATCCACTCAGAGTTTTCATCTTCAAACCACTTAATGTTATGCAAACAGCTTAGAGTGCACTGATGCAAATTTAAATGATACAGGTTAACCAAGAGTCGCAGTTAAAACAAGGAGTGTGAGGCTGCTGCAGGTGTGATAAAGCCTGCTGTGTTATGTACTACCTTTTTAAAAGGGGAAGGAAGACAGTAAAATAATGATAAACTTGTGGTATACTAAATGCATAAACCAGTACAACAACTGTCACCACTAATGACCAGGGATCCACTCAGAGTTTTCATCTTCAAACCACTTAATGTTATGCAAACAGCTTAGAGTGCACTGATGCAAATTTAAATGATACAGGTTAACCAAGAGTCGCAGTTAAAACAAGGAGTGTGAGGCTGCTGCAGGTGTGATAAAGCCTGCTGTGTTATGTACTACCTTTTTAAAAGGGGAAGGAAGACAGTAAAATAATGATAAACTTGTGGTATACTAAATGCATAAACCAGTACAACAACTGTCACCACCAACTATGGTGCATTGCACACAGTTCTCTGTGCTCTATTTTATGCAATGCACCAGCATCATCACAAACACAGGACTGATGTGTTGCTTGATGACTTGATGTCAGCTACATCAGCATGAGGTGACAGTGGTTTTTCAGTAACACTATAAACTTATGAGGCCATCATCAATTACATGATCCATCACTGGCTGGAACACTATGATGTGAGAATGGCTGTCACCTTCAGCAGTGGTCACTCCAGCAGTATAGATACCATTGTTCATCATAACCCAAGTGACCAATCAGCAAGTGTCTCCTGCTGTGTGAGACATCTGGCCATGTTTCCAAAGGCCAGAGACAATTTTTATAAAACTAAATGGGCATGGTTGGCTGGAAGAAGAATTCATCCCAGGGACAATGCCATTAAGTCAGCTTTATGAGTGCAAAACTGAGACAGTGTATGGTCTCCAGCCACACTGAATATGTGGAGCAGGTTTACGCTTTTAACTACAGCCCCTAAAACCCAGTAAGTGGCGAACTGAGAACCAGTGACATCTTTCTTAGTGCTTCTAAAAGTCTCCTTATCTCAAAATACATGACACACACACAAAAAAATAAAAAATAAAAATAAAAATAAAAAAATATCCTCTCCCCAAACCTGTGTCTAGGAGCCCTGGAGACAAGCCCTTCCCCAGTCCAGGCCTCTGCATCCCTGATCACATTTCATACCACCCTGTTTCTACACTCTTCCTTCAACTGTGTACCTTCTCTTCCTCACTTCCGAAGAGGAAATTATCATTGAAAAATACAGCACAGTGTATCATAGAGCATAAATATATGTTAATAATCACATTAATGTATAGCATTATAAAAATCCATGGCCTCTTTTTGAATAAAACTGTGATATAAAGCCATGTTCTAGGAAGCTATTGAACTATGAGAGACCTTACTAAGGTTAGTGCACCAAAGGGATCACCTAAAGTTGGCTTTGGCTCTAGTACCAGCCTGAACTTCGCTTCCAAGTGTGGTTCTGGAATGACCGTTTAGGGCAGAGCTTTAGATGGAATGGCTGCCGAAGGCCACTGAATATCTAGTTAGCTACTATTCCATCATGAGCACTAGATTTTTGGCAAACATCCCTTCTAAAGGACATTTTCAAATTTTAAAGAAAAGTCTATAAATACCATTGAGAGCAGGCTGAGGTCGGTGCCACCGCTGGGCTAAGTGGCAGCTGGAAAGGGCCCAGGAGACTTGCTCTGACCTTCCACAGCAATCAAGAGAGTAGGAAACCCAGAACTGGCCAAAGGGAATTGGACCAAAAATGGCTCACAGATCACCTAATCGCTTATCACTTTAAAGATACTAATACTATTTGAAACTCAAAAGTTTATCATTAGTACAGCAGGCATCTCTTCTCCTGTATTTGAATACAACATCAAATAGTCCCCATGTCCTTGGAAATGTGTTCCCTTCGATGTACCTACAGGCTCAGAAGCCAGCACAAGACAAGAAAAGACTTCTGGGAATATACAACCCAATCATTTAAAAGGAAACCAGGTAAGAAAAGTTCCCAGGAGAACACAACTGCTTAACGAAATTGCATATATCTATAGCAGATTCTCTAGAAAAGAGGTTTAAGAAGCTAAATAATATATAGAAGGAAAAGAAACAAAACTGAGCAATGTGGACCTTCCTAGGGAATTCTTTGGCCCTTCCACCCCACCTTCTTCTCCACAGGGTCACATAAAACCTCACAGTTGAGGGGCTGGAAAGATGGCTCAGGGGTTAAGAGCACTGACTGCTCTTACAGAGGACCTAAGTTCGATTTTCAGCACCTACATGGTGGCCAGCAACCATCTGTAACTCCAGTTCCAGGGGATTCAATACCCTCTTTCGACCTCCGCAGGCATTGTACAACACAAATGAACTCACATATATGCAGGTAATACACTCATACATACAAAATAAAAATTAGTGAATAAAATATTTTAAAGCCTCACAGTTAATTCATTAAAACATCACTCACCAAAATGTTATTAGTAAGTCAGTCTGCACGTGAGTCTATGAACTCTTTCTTAAGTATCAGGTGCATCAAACAAAACCAATTAGATTTGTTCCCAATGTTTTCCTGGAACTATTCCCCTTTACCTGACCTGAAACTGTCCTCTTTCTAATTGTCCTCGATTTTTGGTATTCAAATTCTGTGAGTTCACTACGTTAGTGATTCTAAGTAACCTTCCCTGCCTCCCCAATGTCCCCTAAGCAGAGGACTCAGCAAATCCACATTTAACAGAGAATGTAACTGGATAAAACTCAGGACAGAATAAACTGGAATCAACCAAAGAAAATGTTATGCAATCCAATGAATATAATAACTACATTATATGTTTCTAAGGATTTCTTTTTGATGTGTTGTGTGTTCTATGAGATTCTCATTAATTTTAACTTACCTTTTGAATGACCTCATTAATTTCTGGAGAGTTTGGTGTATACAGTATTTTTCCATGTAATATAGGTTTTAGGAAGGACCACACCAATGCACCATTTGGAGACTGTAGAATTTCCTGATAAAGCTTCAAACAAAATGGTGCTGTCACAATTAGAAGAGAGGGGTAAGGATTAGGGATCTAGGGTGATGTAAATGTCCAGAAGCAGCAGAACTAAATCACACATCCACAGTGCCTTAGTCTTCAATGAATAACTTGGAGAGGCTTCGTGACACAATACTAAAACAGGGTAAGCTGGAATCTTTTTCACGCCCCTATCTTCAGTAGTCCTTGTCCCCTAAGAAACTTCAGGATTCTTGTCAATGACTTGAAAAAAAAGGAAACCAAGGCCCCACCTTCCAGGCTAAAGTATCTGAAAGAGTGATGGGACAGGCACATAAAAATGAAATTGGAGTTTAGTTTTTTCTTTAAATGTGGTTTTAATCAGGATAATTCTTAACAATCATAATACTCAGAATAAAATTATTTTTTCCTTATGAAACCTTAGTAAGTTGCTTCTGGGCTCCCTTTGATAACCTATGAAAATGATTACAATTGCTATTTTTAGTATATTAAATCATACTATTTTGACTCAAACTTAATTCTTCATGGTGGCTCTTATTATAAGGCTTGTTAATTTCAATAAGGAGTCTACTTACATTGTATAAATCAATAGGTCATTCATTATTGTAATGGCTGATAATCAAGAATTATAATATTTATAAATAATAATGAATACATAAGCAAAATTAGTTCATTTATCCAAAAAGAGAGCACTTGAATGGAAATGTTCAGATGTCATAATTCATATTTGTATGATGAGTTCTGTTATAATTATTGTGTTTATTTCATCTTCCCAAATTCTCTTAAACAGAAATCCTTTTATTTCAAATACAATAAAATTGATAAAAACTGTCCCTAAAATATAAATTAAGCATTCAGCTACATACCAATTTTAAAGCATTGATTATAGAGGTTTTCTATATTTAACAGCTTTCTCTTTAAATTATAAGCTTAACATAGATAGTAGCAATTCTTGTCTTAAGAAAGGTGCAATCATTGTGTATACAAAACAAGAAACTTGAACAAAGAATCACGACATCTGTGACTTTAAAGCCTAACGGACACAGGAAAATCTTTTCATGTTATCTGGGCTTCTAGTATGTCATCTGGAAAATGAGGCTAGTGATGTTGTCTAAGGATTTCTGTGACAACCATTTGAAAATAAATCAGAAAAGGACCAGAATGGTCCTCCATGCTAACCAACTGACAGGATAGCTAGATGGCTGCATGATGTAGCCTGAAAATTATTTATTCCTCCTGGACTTCCTCTGAATAGACATAGGCAAGTGCAGGGCACCCTGGGAAAAAGGGTGGAGCCTAGCATTGCTAGAGACTGGAAAGAAAGGGGGAGGAATTGGTGCCATTAGGGGAAGCAGGGAACAGAAGCAGGCGAGCCAGCCTGCCTTGAACGCCCGGGCCCCTCACGGAATTCTGTGGGGTGAGTGGGCAGGCAGGGATGAGAGATGAGGCAGACCGTGGGCAAAAGCAATCCGAAACGGAGGGCAGAGCCATGCAGAGCTGGGTGCCAGATGTTCCTTTCTTTGTAAGTCCCTCCTCTCCCCCCAGAAAGGTATAAACTATGCAAAATCCAGATAAAGATGTGTTGTATGGTTTGTCTAATAGCGCCAGGAGCAAGGGACTCTAAGAGAACTCAGGCGACACGTGAGATGGATGGATGGATGGATGGATGGATGGATGGATGGATGGATGGATAGACGGACGGTCACACACACACACACACACCTGGACATGGTGCTGCACACGTGATCATCGGCTGAAGGAACAAGGTAAGAACATTTCAAGTTTGAGACCAGCCTGGGGAAACAAAGCAAAATAAAAATATTTGCTCCACCTTGGGATGGGCTCTCTTTACCCTTGACCATAAGTTCTGCTCTCTGGTCCTGACCTACTCCATGCAGTAGGACCATAATGGAGTGGGTTCTAGATCAGGAGTGTCTCAGGAGCCCAGTTAGCATGGAGGTTGCATCTTCTTAGTGATCATCCATCCACTGGTGCCCCTAATGAGAGATTTCCAAATGAAAAACATATAAAGAAATGAGTATTAAAGAAGAAACAAAACTTATTATATTTAAGTAACCTTAATAATATGTCTTTACTACCAAATTACCCCAGTATCATACAAATTATCTGTCAGGTGTGGAATATACTGGCCTACTGCTGCTGAGACAATATAACACATTTTTCAAAGGCCAAAAGGGTGCTTATAATCTTCTCCAAAAACCCCTCAAACCTGCTTAGCTCAGGGTGTCAAGGGAGCAGGAGTCTTAGATGTGTCAGTGGTTTAGACTCAGATCCTTGAGGATTAACCATATGTTCATAAGCCCTGCTATGCCAGCACTCAGTGACTGCTAAAGGTGAAGAAGAAAAGACTGTGCCAGCTTGTACCACCAGAGTTCTGCCCAGGCAGGACATTTAGTATAAAGCAGGTGTAATTGCTCTATACAAATCAACCTATAAATACAGGTTGCTCTTGTCTTACTTGAATCTTCAGGAATGTTGAATTTTTCTTTGTCATCTTTCAAGAGTTCATCTACTCTGGGTAAATTAACAAACATGTTAGAGTTGCTAAGGAAGGACGTCTGATCCTTACAAAGCAGCTTCATCACTGACTGCAAAGAATCAAAAGTTGTACTTCTGGCTTGGCCAACTTGTGAAACCTGAGCGTAAAGAAAAGCAACTTAGAATTACACTGTGACTTAAAACAGTTTTCTCACAAATTTCAGAAGCATGGCTCCCTCTTTGAATACACAGGATATTTACCCACAGATATTTATTCACTATGATGATTTTTCTAGCAAATGTACGTAGCAGAAAAATGATACACACACAAATTCTTATCTGTCCAGTAATAAATTATTTATCCATCAAATATCAATAACTCAAATAAATTAAGTCCTTACATGTGTTCACACTGCTAAGTTAGCACTGATTCTTGACAACTACCCAAATTAATCATCAAATAATGAACACATGGACATATTGTCTGCAAAAGTTCCTAGCATACTGTTGTCTGGCCCCTCCTATACCTCCAACTCCTTATTCATTCCTGGTTAGTTCCATCCCAGGGAAAAGGACTTTGAGAAAAAGCTAATATCAAGCCACTAACCTAATTTGTGTCTGTGTTTGCATTAGTAGAAAATGATCTGTAATTTGTAAGCCAATTATTTATATGTAAATAAATGTTCTAAGGTTCTTGAAGGCAATTTGCTCTCTGAATTAAGTTAAACAGGCCCTTGAAATCTCATCTGTGCTAATAATTGACTTCAAAGATTTTTTTACTTCATAGATAAAACATAAACTAGCTCAGCCCCTTCATTGGTGGAATGGGGACCAATAGCCCCTTCGCCAGGGTTTGAAGATGAAGCCTCACTCTGTCATGCTGTTGTATCCAGAGTGCTTAAAGAAGTCCTATTCCTATATGCTGTGGTCCTATGCAGATTGTAGATCTTGAAAGAAAACAAAGGAAAAGGTAACAAACGTAAAGAGAATAAACTCAAACATTTCCCCATTGTGCAGACATCAAACACACCTGTTGGAAGTCCGGCATATCTAGCAAGGCAGTGATTTTAAATGTGTGAAGAAATTCAGGAAGGTATTCGAAGACATGCTGAGCTCTAGCTAGTAGGGAGCTGAGGCTGGAAATCACATCCAACAGGGAGTCGAGCAAGTCATTTGCTTCAGAGGGTATCAGAGTCTTAGAGGACAAGAAAAAGAAAAGAACATGAAATAATCAATACTATTTTTACCAAGCATCTCTTGAGCAGCGAAAACTTGGTCATTTGATTTTTATTCTCTCTTGAACTTCAGAGACATATCTGTTGTACTCTATAAGAATCCTCTGTTTTGGAGCAGATATAACTATGATTTTGGGGGAAACACATTAAATTGTAGCAGCATTGTTAAAGTATAAGCCAGGAACAAATGTGATCTCTGGTTAGAATTCAAAACATTTTCAAAACATTTCTTTGTATCTTTTAAGTGACTACAGTGAAAATCTGAGAAGCTCAAAATAACACAGTGCTTTTATGTGAAGCAATATGCATTTGCCAGCTGCCCCGCATGTTCTTTGCATGCATGCTTCATCACGATGCTCTCCACACCTTGAGGCTGTGCACAGAGTGTTGGTGGAGTAGATGAAAAATCAGCAGCCCAGGACAATGAGCGGTTTCCTGGAGTCTCGCAGTGAGAAAGGTTCAGGGCTAGGATTTAATCAAGATCTTTAAAAGCATGCTTGTACTAGGACCACCTGACACAGGACACATCTTATTCTTTATTTTCATATTCCCAATTCTAAAATGTAAATTCCAGGTAGCCAGGGTTATTTTCTGACCTGATCATTTATGTCAGTAATGAAGGTGGAACAGCATCTGGCAATATTAGCTACATAATGAGTCCTTGTTGGCTGAGCAGATAAATTAACAGACAGCAGTGCTTTCCACAGGTAGGAAAAGTCAGAGGGGCTCTTCTCTCAGCACGTCTTCTGTATGCTGAATTTTCAGTTCTCCAGAGTGAGACAAGGAGTCCAGTGCTCACTGCTTCTTATTTTTGCTCACCCAGGTCCTTCTAGCTCTACAGCTACCCTTGGAGCCCAGAGATCACAAGATCCCTGGAGATCACACGATCACAGCTCCATATTTCAAGATGCACTCTGTTACCTCAGATACTCCAGAAAGTTGTCTCTCAGCAAAGAGGGAAATCTGGCTACACAGATTGGGAATGTTTCTTGCTGACGGCCCCTGCTCACTCATCATACAGACTGCTACCTGCCATGTTCAGAGCCTTAATAAGCCTGACTCTACAAATGTGCTTACAAGGTCTTTTAGACTCCCCTTTTATTTTGACAAGATTTAATTGAGACTCCATTCCCAGAGTCAGCCAATGGGCAACCCTCCAGGCCAGTATAGCTGGCCACGGGCCATCCACAGATTCAACCAACCTGGAAACTGAAAATATTTTTAATGCCTCTATACTGAACATGCACAGACATTTTTCTTGTCAGTATTCCCTTTAACACGTACTATAACAACTATTCACATAGCTATTATTATTTCTTGGGTGCTATGGGTAATCTAAAGATGATTTAAAGTATATGGAAAGCTATGTATATACTATACATAGCCACTATGTACTCATGAGCACAGCCAAGGAGAGGTTCAGCTGCAGAACTCCAAAAGCCCCAGAAGGCCGCTGTCCTTACTTTGTAGAGAAAGGTCCTCAGGTTCAAGTTCCGACTTATCACCACAAGCAAAGAGTACACTTGAGACCTGGGTAGGCTGCAGAGCTCCTTCACAGCAAACCAGGATTCGTCTCCCTCAGGAAATGTCAGCAAGAGATGAATAATTTCTTTGTCACACTTCCCAGACACAGCTATTGTGAGGATACTGGAGATAACCTGTTTCAAAGCACATGGATCAGAAGTAAATAAGCCCAGCACAGCACACACTTCAGCCCCTCAGACTCCACTTTCTCAAGGAAAAATCGCCTGTAAACTCAACATGCTGGAGACTCACAAAAACATAGAGCCTTTTTTAGCTTTCTATCATGACAAAATGCCCCAAGCAAACAACCATAAGGAGGAAAATTTATTTGGGCTCATGGCTTCAGAGATTCATTCCCTAGTCTACCAGCCTGTGGCATTTGAGCTTGTGGCAAAGCAGAACATCATGGCAGCATGCTTGTGTCGCGACAAGCTGCTCATGCTCACTGCACAGCAGCCAGGAAGCAAATAGGAAGAAAGGAAGGGCAAAGGTCCCAGAATCCCTTTTAAGGGCATATTTCCCATAAGCTAACTTCCTACAACTAAAAACCTTCCTAAAGGTCCCAGTGCCTCAAGTAGCCCCACAAGCCAGGGAGCAAGCATTTACTACAAGGGCCTCTGGGGACACCTCAGCTCTAGACCATAGCAGAGCTCAATCCTCTGTTTTGTTTTCAACATTCTGAATGGAAATGTTTCTGAAATTGCAAGTCATTCTCTGTGCAGCTCTCCTGGGTTTGAGGACTCCAGTGGGATCACTGTTGTAAAACCCATTATTCCCTCTCTGCAGGACTCACTGTGAAGCACTGACCTGCTCTGCTTGGCGCTCCTAATGTTGCCCTTGTATGTAGCATCAGGTCTTGTCTGTTGATGCTAAATCTCGCTACTCTTTGCTTTCTGTTTATCAGTTCCCCTCTCTTCACTGTTTACAGTGTGAAATTAATATTTTTGCCATTCTCACTTCTGGTTTGAAAGTAGGATTTCCAAGCTTTTCACAGTCTCCTTAAAACAAAAGCACATTACCTCAGAAGGAGGCCCTGAAGACAGACTGTATCTGTACCCACTTCATTGTCTTTCCTTAGTACACCCAAGAACCCAGGTGCCTCCCTACTGGGACTCACCTTTCACTTACGGACCTTGTAACAAAACTGCAAAGCAAAGCACAAACAACTGGATTTCCTATTGCATGTTTGACCTGCCTGACATGAAATTTGATTGCTTAATATCATCTAAAAAGAATCTTGATGGGGATACTTTCTTTCCTTTCACACGAATTAACCTGGAGGCTTCTATGCATAGGGAAGTACATGAAGCAGACCAGCTTCCTGAGGCTTCTGTTTCCAGATGTGCTCTGGATGTCCTCGGGAACATCCCTGAGGATCCCACAGGGGGTGAAGGGCACTGCCCTGGCTCTCAAGCACGTGTTTGCTCAGTTCTGTAAAGCAGACTCCAGGGTAGATCTTCCCTAGGAAGTGGGGCTCATTCAAACACAAGCCCTCCACTCCAGAAGAACTGCTCCCAGCTCTTGGTCGGAAGGAACTCAAACTGGCCCCAGAGAAGTCTCCGCCCTTATCACTGCCCAATGTGTTGCTCAATGGTGCCAAGGCCAACTCTTAGGATTTAGGGTTCTTTCCCACAACTTGTTCTGGTGCAAAAGTAATCACCTTGAGTTTACGCCACCTCTTTCACCAAATGAAGAAAACTCCACTGGAAGCCTTACAAGAGCAACAAGCTACTAGGATAGTTTGGCTCACACTCTTTTTCTGTGGTTTTCCCATTTTTACTATTCATCTGTCAATCATGTTAGGTCTGTTCTTATTTGAAACAAGTGCAGCAGGTGAGGAAGAAAAGGCCAGGGAGACGCTGGTTTGCTTGGTTACAAACATGTGATTCTTATTCAGATCGCAGCAGGCTGGGACTGATACCACAGAGTGTCAAAGATGCAGACCCTAAGTTTCTGACACTCTCCCTACATGTCCATATTTGATTTAAAATGCTAGGAGATGACCAAGGACCCAGGCCAGATGCCTCTTAGCTCAGAGACTCAGCCATTTGATTTAAAATGGGGGCAATCCCCACAAGACCTACTCACATTGTTAACAAGAGCTTGAACACCTGTGGGATGCAGGTCTAGAGCACAATGTTACCCAGATAGTAATTTTACTCTAAGAAGTACAGATAAAATTTGAGATTGAGGTGGGGGTGGTGGAGTCTGTGCTCAGTCTCCTTGTGACCAACAAGAAAACAGTGACAGCAAAGCAGACACAGTGGGATTGTGGGAACAGCGCCTCTGCCAAACTGAGATTTGAAAGCCAAGAAAGCAAAATCAGGTCAGACGGAGAAAATAGATCCTATGCACTTTAGTGAGTATCTCTGCATGGGCTTCAGCCGAGCCCAGATCTACTGACATGATAAAGAGCCAAATACAAGAGAGGAGACTGAGAGAGCCACAGGGAGCTACAAGATCTGTCTAGGGCTGAGCCCCAGGTGAGAAGTCAGTGGTGAAGCCAAAGTTTAGATGGATCCAACCTGCACTCTCACTGTATCACCCACCCAGGAGTTATGGGATATCCAGGTACAAACCCCTGTATCTTTTCCTTCACAATAGTAATGGTAAGACCCAATGCCTCCAAAGGTTGGTGTGGAGGATTGGAAACATAAGGGTCTGAGCAGCAGGGGATGGGGACTGTCTGCAATAATCATAAAAAAATGCAACTTAAATAAACACAGCACTTCAAGAAAAATGAGATTAAGAATTAGATTGGCTCATTAATTTAAAAAGGCATTTATATTTAAGAAAAGGGGGTAGACAGAGAGAGATTGTATTCCACACTTGCATATTCATAAACAGAACCACCTCACATTGGAAAGAGTGAATAGAATGGTTAAGAAGCTGGTGGTTAACCTCCACATGCCTCCTCACATTCCCAACCCAGAGCTGTACACTGGCAGGTGGTCTCTGAGGCAGCTTCAGTGGGTTCCCTGTTTACTGGAGCAGGCAGCCATATAGGGGTCCAGCATGAAACGCAAACGTGTTACCCGGGAGAAGGTAGAGAGGATTCAAGGCCAGTACAGGAAGTTAGACTAGACGGGCTTCAGGATCCAGTAGGTGAGTCTCAGGATTCTGCAGTGTGAGGTGCCGGTGTTCCTGAAGAAAACTCTGTAAGAAAGGAGCTTCTTACCCACACCCATGGCAAGGAAAGGAAAGAGGCCTGATATCAACCTATCAGCCTGTCCTAGCATCCGTTAGCTCATTTCAATGTCCAGAGTGCTGTGACCCGTAATTACCCCCACTCCTCTGATCTGTAATGTCTCCTGCTCAGCCCATCATTGTGTTATGTGTATGTCATAGAACTTTCCAGTGTCTTCACTTATTCACTGAGCTATCCTCATAGAAGGTTGGCTCACTTATACCAGTGGCTTTCAGCCCTGGCTTCTGGAAACATGCTTGATGCACAGGAAGATAGGAAAATCTTTATTTTGTAATTTTTTAATTTTTATTTATGTATTTATTTTATTTATTTATTTGGCATTTTTTGAGACAGAGTCTCTCTACAGCCCCATCTGGCCTGGAACTCACTATGTAGACCAGGCTGGCCTAGCACTCAAAGAGATCCATCTGCCTCTGCCTCCCGAGTACTGGGATTAAAGGCATGTGCCACCACACCTTGTGAAGATAGGAAGATCTTAAGTGAATGAGGGAAAGGAGGACAAGCAAAGATTTCTGAAACTGTAGAGGACCTAGCACCACTGCATGGTTCCTGTATGTCACCGGCAGCTTGGACTAAGAGTCTAATATGACAAATTTGTAATGGAAAATGAGACTGTGGGAGAGAAGCCCAGGGATAAACACAAGGACATGGGGCCACACACAAGGAACTGCCTCCAACTGTCAAGCTAGAAACAGAGTCTGACATGTTACCTGCTAAGCTAATGTGAATTCCTCCCCTATACTGTGTACATATATATGGTGACATGGCCATATTTAGACATTAAAGCAAAGAGTCTCATGTATTTGAACAGCAGGAATACAACTTTTTTTAGGCCCCTCTCAGTTACCTAAGGATCGATCTATTTAAGCAACCACACTGGCTTACATTGCCAGAGACAGAGAAAGAGACCCAGCTCTCCTCAGCTCGCCCTAGCTCGCAAGTGTAAGGTGAAACCATCTGTGCGGCAACTGTCACTTCATCACCCAGCTATGGTTCCGCACAGCCCCTCTCAGCATAGAACATGGGTGACACCTGGTGGCTGCTTGCTTAAGCAGACAGCAATGAGCAAATAGCCGTGCCCACACGTAAAATGGATCACAAGATCTTAAGTTGAAAGACCTCAGAAATGTGTTGATCTGTAACACTTCTCTCAAAGCAATGTTTGCTTGCTGATCAAATAGTACACAGACCGCTCTGGATTCCCAGCAGATGATCCACACTTCAGTGCTCACGCCAAATCGGACAAGCTGAACTAAAGAAACTTTACCACAACTCTCTGCTCCACTCCCCTCCTCCCTCATCCCATCTTCATGAATGTGTGCAGTTTAATAAGCTGAAACTTATACTGTTACTTAAAATAGATGCTGTGTTTCTTGTTCTAAGTAACTTTGCCATACTATCATTTGAATTTTGAATCCCTAGCTCTCATCTATTTCTCTCTTAATTTAGATTAGCTTTTAATGCCAGAATTGGCATAAAAATTAAATGTGTGTCAGGACCCAAATGATTGTCAATTGAAGTGTTCATGCATGAGCCATTTGGGGCTTTCTGCAGAGGATGGCAGCACCCTGCCCCTGGGAGGGGCTAAAAGGCTGTCTCAGAAAAGCACCTGCTGGGGACCCAGATGACATTGGCTGCAGACAACACCTGCTCCCTTCTTCCCTGGTAAACAGTCTCCCAATGCCATGTGTCACTTACGTCTTGGCTTGTTACAATGGCCCCTCGGTAGGTTAAATGTCCTTTTATGCCTCTGCCTTAGCCAACACCTCTCAGTCAGGCTAGAGAAGACACAGCCTGTCACCATTCATCTGCTTTCATGAGGCACATCTGTACCACCCAGTACGTGTACAGTTACTATCCACAAAAGGACCCATGGTATATATTAACTGGCTTTGTTTGGGGATGATTTTGAGTCTTATGACACTT